CAGCGTGGGGAGGCATAGAGGGCTGTGGGGCCAGTGGTTGAGGTGGGAGCCTGCCCATGCTGCCTGTTCTCCTTCATGCTGTCTTTTCCTCCACTTCTGGGGAGACTACGGGCTGGAGTGGAAGCCCCGGCACCATCTGACTTCTCTTCCTGCGGGGCACTGCTGTTTGAGTCCGCTCTTGAAAGAGCAGCAACCCAAATGCTTCCCGCGGAGCTGCTCAATCTTGAATCCTCCTGAAAGGGCACGAGCATCTCAAGGAGAGATTTATTTATTTATTTATTTATTTATTTATTTATTTTAGGGCTGTGAAGGAGCTCTTGGTGCCGTGCACTGCTCTGCAGCTGCAGTGACGACTGAGAAACAAAAGTTCCAGCCTCACGTGCTGAAACGCAGGGCTTATCCTAGTGATTAAACGACTGGGCTTCTTCCAGAGGGCAGTGATGGGTTTGGATGTGTCAACTCCCACACACGCACGCTCTCCATCGGTCGATATGGGAAGAGCTCAACCAGCAGAGGGCAATGGCATAGATGCACATATATGCTCATACGCGCATGCAGAACATACCCCAGAGGTTCTGGGGGCAGGGGAGGGGGAAATTCATCTTCACACAGCGAAAGGCTGGGACTGTGTATACGCACACCCACGCACACATGCACACATGCACACACTGCTCGTGTGTGGTTCAGTGGGTACTGACGGTCTGCCTGATTTCGTGCTGCCAATATTCATGTTTTTTAACTAGGAAGGCCTTCCCTCCTCCCTTCCCAAGAGAAAATAAGCTGTTAAAGTGTGAAATGAAGCCTTGCTTGATAAGGAAAGCTATCAGACAGGCTGGTGCAATTCTGCTTGTGGAGCAAAGATCTGGAAGGGGAGGATGAAAGCTAATCTCTCCTTGCCTGCAAGAATGAACCTTACTGAAGCAAGCGCAGGACTTTTTCCTAAGCAGGCAGAGACTGTGCTTCAAAGACATTGTTGGCATCAGGACCCTACCAGGCACAATCAGTCAGCTCTTTGAAGGGGCCCCTAGCCCACTGCCTCTGCATGAGGAATGCAAAAGGCATTGAAAAACCTCTCTTGCTTGCTTTCCAGTTCTGCCTGGCTGTGTTTCAAGGAACAGGATAGTGATAATAACCATCTTAATAGCTTCTGGAAAGCAAGGCGGGATTTGACAATGTGAAGCTTAAATGGCAGTAAGCAAACGTCAAAGCAGACATCTGCTGTTCACAGGGTTTCTAGAGGGATGCTCAGACAGTCCTGCAGCCTGGCCCTGACCACATCAGTTTTAACTGGGTCTTAATTCTGAAATTCAAATCTGTTGGGAGAACACAAAGCTGCTGGCTGACATGGGGAGCTGTGGATGTTATGTGATGGGGGAGGAGAGCAGCCTTGCTCAGCCCCTGCTTTCTGTCCTTCAGGAGGACCATGCCAGCAAGAGAGGGGCAGAATCTCATCCAGTCTTCCTAGGTCCAGAGACTTTGGTCTAAAGAGTAGGGAACTCACAATGGTGTTTGGATGCTGCCTTGTATCATCTCCCTAACTTGAGTGTCATCCAGCAAAGAAACACAGGGATGCTTCTGCTTCCTCTCTGAAAACAGGCTTTCGATTTCAAAAAGCCTAGAGACCTTATGTGGGTGGCTGGCGAAAATAAAGTCTAAGCCCCTCTAGCCAGGCCATGGACACTGCCCCCCAATAGTGCTGGTCCCCTGAATGAGGGAATAGCCTAGTCTGATACTAATAAAACAGCTTCCTAGCTGTTCTTGCCAGTACCGCCAGGCATCTCCCATGCAGAGCACCAGGGACTCTGGTTTGGCAGAAGTCCTGGGAAGAAGCTGTTCGGTGGGGTCCCTCTCCAGTCAGGTCTAAGCCAGCAGAAATCCCACTTCCCTCAAGAGTGACCCAAGTAGTCCTTTATTGACTTGCCAAATCCCTCTTTGAACATGGTTCTTTCTTAAAAAGGGCTCTACCCTGGGGACAATGTCAGACCCTGATGTTGGGCCAATTTTTGTCTTCAGATCTTGTTCCCGCTGAGGGAACAGACCCATCTTTCTTGAGATGTTCACCCCCATCCCCCAGCTCTTTTTTTTCTAAAGTGCAGCTGATGCTGCAAGCAGCTTTCTTGCTCCCAAACAACTCTGCAGGAGCTGGTTTGCCATCAGAGGCAGCCTGCACAGTCGCTGTGCCAAACCGGATCAAACTCCAGTCTTCAGCTCTGCTGTTCAGGGGCCATGCAGCAATTAAGAGACTGATGCTGCAGAAAGGCATCTGAAAGAAGCAATCTCCCTGGGTTATTTACAATTTACAGTGGATGAAGAACTGTTTGAAAAACCAAGAGGAAGCAGCATAAGATCTGCCTCTTTTCACATACAAATGAGCCTCAGAGAGCCTAAATTATCTCTCTCATCACTGCTGCAGGGCTGGGTCTCCACATCTGGCTTGGAGCACACCCGGATGACAAGGAGCTATTCTGAAAGACTCTCGGCCTTTGGAGACCTCTGATGCTTAACCTTGGGAGGTCAAAAGCTCTTATCTCGGATTTCTGAAGGGAGGAGATATTTTCTCCTGGTGTCAAAAGGCGTTGGGCTTGTGGAAGGAGGGCAGGATAGCAAGGTAGGGACCTAAGAAGAGGAGAGATCCCTGTTCAGCTGTGCTAAAGGAAGAGCAAGCTCCTGCTTCTGGGGTGGTTGGAAATGCTGAATTGTGATCCAGGAGGGCAACACATGACGTAGTTCTGCACTGCTGGCCAGGCTGCCTTCCCTGTCCCCATATGCAAAGTGGTGCAAGCTTCACCAGTACATACCAGGCTGGGCTCAGAGCTCAGGTTAGGTTTCCTTATGGAAATGCCATGTACCTGGGGTACAGCACCTCTCCTGGGGGCTCTGGGTGAGCACTGGGTCTTTTCTTCAAAGGTCTCTGACTGTCCTTATTACTGCTTTGCATTCCCATCACTAAAATCACTAAAAACAGCAAAGATCAGATCTGCAGCCTCTGTAGGCAAGTGGTATTTGGGGAAAGGTGAAGACAGAAATATGTGCTCCTCAGACACATGCCAGCTGATGTCTTAAATCTGATGCAACTGGAGTACCAGGTAAGGAAATATAAACTTCCTTTGCCTTAGGAGGGGACACACACACAATCACACACACTCACTCTCTTCCAGCTAGCCCAATCCTGACCATATGTCCATTCAGCAGCTCTTCAATAAATTTGATTAAAGACTCAGATTTATAGTGTAATTAATTGCTGTTACTAAAAAATGCCACTAGTTTTTATTGTGAGTTTGAAACTTGCGCTTTCTTATGAGCAGGGCCCCAGGGAGGTGAGAGTGGAGCCATTTTTGGGCACTGCAAGGTTCTGGGGTTGCCTCCTCTGTGCCGCAGAGCCTCACAGGTCCCAGTGTCTCCACCACCCTACCTTCGGAAAGCAAAAGGCACCCGACGCTAGCACCTATGAGCCATTGCAAAGAGAAGAGCCTGCAAACTTACGGAGGAAATATTCTGCTGTATCGGCTTCATAATCTGCATCCTCAGGGAAGTGATCGATTTGCTTACACAGACCTTTAAAATTCCCTAGGGAACAAGAGAAAAAAAGAACAAATGAGAACACCAAAGCCTGCCTTGCAGGAACAGCTGCCCTCTGCATCGCCCTCTGTGCCCACCCTGCCTTCATCCCAGGCAGCACACCCGCTTGTGCACGGATGCCCATTAAATGCCCAGGTACTCTCCTTGCACACTCGGATATGTATCTCCCTCTTATTTGCACAGGAACATGGGATTCGCCATCTGAATCCAGCCCAATGCCCAGCTAGCCTAATGCCCCTCGCTCCGTGATGGAGAGAGCACCAGAGGCTTTGGCTGGGAGCTATGACTCCTGTCACAGATGGACAGGAGAGCACTGCCCGCCTCTGAGGGCAGTGGGATGGGAAGAGGAGCCGGAGATTGGGTCATGCTGTGAAGCACGTGGGCCTGGGTCCCTTTCCTCAGCATCAACTGGTGTAACTGTGGGTGGTTGTGTTTCACCTGGCGTGGCCTTGGTGGGCCCCAGCAGTGCTGCGTTTGGTGGGGTGATCAGGTTTGGATGGAAAAGCATTTGTTTCTCTCAGCTGTGAATTTGCTGCCTATTCATTTCATGGGCAGGATGCATCCCGTTGTTCTGGTGTGGTACAAGAAGAACAAAAGCTCTTAATCTACATTCTTCCTATGAGTGCTTGTTTTTGCATACCTTTATCAGGCCTCCTCTTGTGTTCTCTCACAGGCTAAGGCTACAAGAAGCTTTGTGCAAGTGTGTGTATGCAGCTCAGCAGCAAAACACCCTTTGCATTAGGGAAGTAAAATCTTCCACCTTAAGCAAGGGAAGCTGGGTCAGTTACCCTCAGTTTCATCAGGCTGGTGTACATACAGGGACATCTGCCAGCTTTAGTCATGAGGCACCCTCTTTCACACACTTCACAACCAGCAAAGCCATCCCAGCAGGAGGTCAGCAACATCTTCTCAGTCTTTTGTCATCTGGGATGTCTACTAGACTCTTCTTTTTGTCATTCATGTCTTTTTCCTCTTGAATCAGGAATACCACTCCAGAGAGGTAATCCTCCAGCCACATCATCATGACCACTGGTATCTCAAAGGATCAAGTTGTTCACACTTGTACAGGGGTGGTCATGTGGAAGGCAATTTCATTATGCTGCCTGGGATTTCCCTAAACTTCTTCTCCTGCCTTCTCTTACATTTCTTTCTGGACCCTTGCAGTGGCTGGCCTTTAACAGAGAGCTGTTGGATATAATCTGTCCAGAAAGGAGGAATGCAGTATCTGCATGAAGTGCATGGATGAGCATGGTGATCCCTTGGCCCTCCACCAAAGTGGCTTAGGTTGATCCCTCAGCAGAAGAGTTTGGAGCTCAAGTCTGGAAAGTGATAAATGATGTGACAACCTGGGAAAGCCACCTGCCACCCTGGCCCTGAGCCCAGCTGCTGGACCACCTGGGTATGCAGAGTGAGGGGACAATGAAGCCACCACACTTGTGGTCGTTGCCTCTGGGCAGGGTTGCTTGTGAGGAACCCAGGGCTCTTCCAGGCCAATCCTACCCAGACTTAGACCTACAGGGACTATGTCAAGTCCCAGAGTCATCTCTTGGAATGTTTATTCCAGATGAATTTCAATGATCTTTCAGTTATTTGGGAATAGCTGGAAGAAGGACCAAGCTCAAAGGATTCCTCCTGTGTTTCTTCTCAAGGCCAAGTCTTGATGGAGCAAGATTTGGGATGCTTTGGGAGGCAGAGCAGAGCAAATAGCTGTAGAAGACGGGTAGGTGGGTTGCTCTAGGTCAGTCCCCAAGCTTTACTCCTTCCGCATACAGTCAGCTTGTGTCTGATGCTTCTGAGATACCCATCACCTTTAACTACTAATTCAAAGAGCTTCCATGAAGAGGCTAGAGACAGCAGAGAGGAGTGTGTGTGCATGTGAGAGGTAAGTAATAGGAGAATAAAGTAGGAACAAAGCCTCTCCATGTGCCTCTGAATTGCTATTCCCACATTGAATCTCTGGGGGATGAAAGGAGGTTATTAATCACACATCCCAAATCCAGTTACCTCATTCAAGAAGTGTCTGCTTCTAAGTCATGGCTCTTCAGGAGGGAAAGCTTTGTAGCCAAGTAAATTCCCCTGTCATGCTCCCACCCTGATACTTCCCCACTTAAATACCTGTGAGAAAGGCAGATATAGCATGAACAGGGTCATTCCCTTGCTCGCCTCTGCCTGCCTGCCTGGGGCCATCTGCCAGCGACAGATGAGCAGCTCATCACCCTGGTCCTTTGGCTGCGGACACTGCTGTACAGTGCACATGAACAGTGCCATTCTCCGAGGCACCGGGGAAGTCTCCAGACTCAGGTTTCAGCTCCTTGCCCAGCAGATCCTGAATGCTGAGTGCCTCCTGCCCTTACATGCTGCATCCACCTCCCAGACGAGGCTCCTGGTGCACAGCCAGAGCCCCCCATTTGGAATCGGCCAGGGAGGGAAGAGGCACTGCATGTGGAAACTCCCTCACTCTGTGCCATCCTTTCCCTGCTTCCTCTCTTCTCCCTCTCCCACACTCAGTTTCTTGCTGTATTTGAGCCTGATTAATTCCTGTGTGAAGAATCAAGCTGCTTGGGAAAGATGCTGCATTTTGTGCAGGGTGTCTTTTGTATGGGCTGGTGTGGGATAGCTAGTTAGAAGTTCAGCAGCTTAGACAGGGTGAGGGTACAAGCCAGGCTCTTTGAAAATCTGCTCCTGGTGCTGAGTGTTTAAGAGACCTTGCTGTTCTGGCTCAGGAGGCTGCTTGGCCATTGCGGTGCCCAGCCTTGTCTTGCTTGAGACGCTGTAGCATTGAGGACCTGTCCCTCATGACAGGCTGATAACCTGTGCCAAGCTGATCTCCTCCCTGGCTCAACCCTACTGGGGTTCGTGAGGGCAGGGTGGGCAGCGCTGGTCCCACTTTAGCTTCTGCTTTGCCTGCACTCAGCACGGAGTGCCAAGACTCTGGATGCTGACTATTCATCAGTGCCACCACACCCTCTCCTCCAATGCCTCCTAGATCCTCTGGGCAATGGATGGGGAAAGGAAGCAGAATTTAGGTCATTAATGCTCTAACTGGGAATATAAGAGAACAAGATTCAATTTTTGCTCTGCCACAGGCATGCTGTTAAAACCACTTCTTCTCTCTGCCTTCCAGTCCCACCCTGTAAAACGGGGGTGACAGCACTCCTCTGCCTCGTGCCGCAGGGGGATGTGTTAAAGAGGGCATGGTGTGGGTGCGCTGGTGCCGGCGGCTGTGCAAGCACATGGAGTCAGTGAGCGATGGATGGCAGCCCTTCTGAAACCCTCTTGGTGCAGGGAAGGCCTCGATGTCACTTGCGCCAAGGTCACTCAGCAATTTTCTGGCGGACATCTGTGGCCTGCTGAGATGGTGAAGCAGCTTCCCTGGCACCTGTGCTGGTGGAAGCGCTGTGGCCGCACGCGGGGAGCGGGATGAAGCAGCTGAGCGGCGCTGCTGAGGTCTGACACAACAGCCTTCTCCTATGCTGCACGTGCGGTTTGCAGAGCCAGGGAGGGAAGAGCCATGTGCCACCCTATAGTTAATACTCCTGACCGCCTGAGGAAGAGCAAATCATTATTTGGGGGGGTGTGATGGATCTCTGAGAGCTCCTCAAGGTAGTAATAGCAATGTCTCCTCTGTACTTGTCTCCCTTTGTGCTTCTCATTTTTCCTGACTTGAGCTATTTCATGCTGCGAACCCTGAAACAGGCAGGTGTTGAGCTTTCTGACTTCTCCTGCATATGTCTCTGAGAAACCTAAGCCATGTGTTTCCACCTCCTCCCTGCAACTCTCCCAGAGCAGTTCGGGCTCTCCCCTCATCCTCTTTTTTGTGCTCGCCCACCAGATCTTCCTCGTGTTTCTCAGTCTCTCTCATTCATCGCAGCCACCTCCCCCTCCTTGGCGTATCAGTGTGGGCATCCTTCAAGCAGCCTGCTTTGGGGCTGCAGGATCTGCAGGTTGCAAAAGAGGTGGGGAGGACCTCTGAGTTGTCTCAGAACAGAAAGGCTGGGGACACCCATGTCCATCGAAAATCGCTGAGCAGCCCCTAAGTGCCCTTGGTATTACTGGGAGTCCTTAGATGAGGTCCATGTAATTTGCTTGCCACCACCCCAAGCTTTGGAAAAGGCAATCTGGAGGGGCTAGGACTGGTGCAACAGGCACCCCCCAGTGACTGGATGGGGACAAAAGTTGCCCAGCCAGGGCATTAAGAGCAGAAACAACCTGCCATACTGCCTAGAAGGACCAAATGTCTAAGATGCATGAAAATCAACATCAACTGCATGTTCAGCTCTCAGAAAGACCTCCTCCAATGCGGCTGGGTCATCATTTGGGTACACACTGTCTATCCAGGACAGCTGGCAGCCACCAGCTCTGCTGCAGTGAGAGTCAGACTGAGTTACTCCTGATGAGAACCTGGCTCGGCATTGTTGGGAATATAGTTTATTTTTGTGCTGCTTTGTGCAGCCCTGTCTTTTTCAGAAGTCCTGCTTGCCTGCAGAGTGCAAACCATCACAAAATAGTAAGTTCCAAAGAAAGAAAAGCTACACCCTTCCTGCGGGGTAAGAACACTTTTAAATGGTCAGGACTGTACATCTGAAAACTGGGAGCCAGAGAGAAAGGAAAAGTCGTCCAAAAGGAGAGAAGCAGACAAAGAGGGATGAGAACAGAAAGACCTGTTTTCCCAGAATGATTTGTGATATTTCCATTTATGGAAAAAAGCAATCCACTGAAAGCTTTCCTTCAGTCTCACTCTCTAATTTAGCAGAGGTTTTGGCATGGTGGTTCCCTGAGAAATAAATAAAAAGGGCTGGATATAGCTGTTGTCTCTAAAAGCTCAGAAAGATGACTTGGTGTTGGCCAAAGATTCAGTACCTCTTTCTGCCGCACGCTCCCTGTATCATTTCAGGCAAGTCACTTCACCCCATCTTCTTTCACTCAGAATGGGAATTATGGTATTTCCCTGCCTCAGGGAAATAGCCTGAGGATATTAATATTAAAAA